GCAAATAATAACGATAATATTATTAATAATGATTTTAATCAGGAAAAAAAGCCAAAAAGAGAAAAGGAAAGAAAGGAAATCAGAGCGGAACAATAGGGAAGAAAGCGTCCCACACGACGGCGATCATCTTAAGAGCCCTCAGGCCAAAGCAGCAGTAGGGGCCGGACTAGGTCGCTAGGAGAAAACCAATAAAGCCCTGCCCAACTCTAAAATGTTTAGGGTTGAATCGACTGGAATTGTCGGTAACTTTGTCAGGATTCAGGGGGGCACCGTTCCTAGAGCTTATATTGGACCGTCGCCAAAACTTTCGCGGGAGATCCCCAGCAGATCCAAAAGCCATAGGCGACTGCTGCTGCTGCTACTGCTGGGGCTGTGAATCTGAGCTATCTTATTGTTGCCCGGCGAGTCCACCCACGGAAGCGCCGACAGACGCGCGAGCACGACTCTTGGGCCTTTTTTTTCCCGCTACTAGCATGGTTTTGCGGCTCATCTTTGGTCAACAGCAGGTGCAATTCTGGTAGGAGATCGTCCTTCCAGACCGGGTGGTAAGGGACTGGTCCGATAGTAAGGTCCCGACAAAGTGGGTGAGCAGTAGACGATCGCACCGGTGGGTGCTTGTCGAAACTCAATTCCATCCTGGAAGACCGGGGGGAGGGGAATAAAAAAAAGCATTCATTAAAACTAGTCTTACAATAGGCTCTACCACAGTGGAAGATCGCACTATTCCTCGATTACCCGGCACGAATTGGATTTTGATCGTCAGGTAACCCTCGTTGACAGGCCGGTGGTGGTGGTGGTGACTTGCTTGCTGGCTTGCTGACATTTATTCCTCCGGAGGCGGTGGGCCAGCAATGACAGACCCAGTGCTAGGAAACTCTAAGCTGGGTTGCTCTCGAGCCTCAGGCACTATGTGTGTTAGTGGATATCGCATGGTGACGGATGATCCATTTGCATGTTGGGAGATGAGGAACGAGAGTAAAGAGGGATCTTGGAGAAGTGACCTCCGTTTGCATGGTCAATCCATCCCGTAACAGGAGCTACTAAGAAGCTGCGACAGACTTGGCTTCATACAAGCCGTGCCTGCCTGACAGGATTATGGTGGTGACGAGGAAGCCCTTACTATACCAGAAACTCAAATGGTTACCGAGAGAGGACCATACATATAGTATTGCATGCAGCTGCAAGAGCCACCGGGGGAAAGATCAAACTCTTGGGTGCCTGGTGCATACATGGGCCGATGGTCAAGTGAGGATGCACCTCATGTACTACTACGACACGGTGACTGGTAACAAAAGTCTACTTGATCCAGGAAACTCCGATGAAGGTCCTGTTCAGCCAAGTTGATGATCAGCGACCCAAAGCAGGAGGCAACCCTAGAGAAGAATGAAAGGTTCACTTGCTGCACTCCAGACAGGCTCTCGAGCTATATGCTATGCTATGTTGGCAGTCTAGGATCCTGCGCATTCATCAGCTAACTCAACAGTAGTGTCCAATCCAAGGTGCCCCAGCATGGAACTAGGAGGCATATAGCTCGAATCCATACCTACAGCTTCCAGTTAGTTGCCATCATCCCTTACTGATGGGTAACGAAGCCTCGTATTCCGAACCAGCGCCCCGGGACGGCTTCGGTTAGAGAGAGCGAAGAAAAAGAAAAGGTAGACTGGAGCGAGAGTGGATTGTAGTTAATTAACCCCATATATTGACACATCTTTAATATCGAGTTCGTTAGTCGCTGGAGTATCTAAGCGATCATGTCTTTGAAATGATATTCATAGGTAATAGTACTAACTGCATCCTAAGAGGCAAAGGAGAATGGCATTGATTGCGTGGCAGATGATTCGACATACCAAGCAGGCATGTTTCTCTCTCTCTCCAATCTACGTGGACGTACTGCTTCGTATCCAAGGCGAGTGGGAGGAACGAAACCGACCCGACCGGTCTGGGTCCGGTCCCAGGATCCAGTCAGTGTCCGTGCCATTTTTCTGGGCTGGCAGTGCCTACTTTTTCCCCACCGAATCTGAGTCACTGGACTCCCTAGTTCTCCGTATTCCACAATCCTGAAAGTCCCCACGTTCTTGAGGGCTAGTACTAGTATAGTAGATAATGTGGCCCTTGTTGCATGTCCGCTATGTGTGGCTAAATGGAGCGAGAGCGAGACCAAAGAGAGGAGCCAACAGAGGGGATTCGCACAAATAAAAACCGAAGAGACAGCGCGCTAAGTGATTTGCCCGGCTCCAGATGCATCCAGTAGCGCCACGGACGGTGTACCGTAGACTTGGGCCAGGAAATGAACGCGACCAGAGAGTGTGGTTTGGGTCATGGCTAGCTCAGCTAGTTAGTTAGGTTGGTTGGTTAGTTAGTTAGGTCGGTCGGTGGAAGGTCTTGCTCCGGTCCGGGAAGTTGGGTTTACCCCGTTTAGGTAACGCGGGCAGGCACCATGTGAATGGTGATTGGAAGAAATGGGTTCAAGACAGGCGGGTTGTCGGAGGAGAGAAAAAGGAGGAGATGGGGGAAATGCTGCTAGGTTACTAGTATCTCGTAGGTTGTTGTCTGAGCGGATCGTCCTAGCAGATAATAGTAGTAACTAGTAGATGGTATCAAAAGTGGTACCAAACGGGGAATGACTATCGACCCAGTCAACTACTGTTACTAATAAGTATGTACGATGTACTTAGTATTCATCCCTCCATCATACACATTACAGTTATCAGGTGCTTCAAAATCTCCCGAGAGAGAGAGAGAGTGTGTGTGTGTGTGTGCTTGAGAGAGAGAGGAAGGGAGGGAGAGATTTGGAACTGTAGACTAGCATCCAAAAGGGAAGCGTCAACAGAAACAGCGGACGCGGCAGGTGGCGCTATCCTTGACAGAAGAAGAAATGCCGCACAATGACAGGGTCGTCTGGATCTAACAGGCGATCATCGCCCCCCCTCCCCAAGAATGTCGAACCAAACAGGCCAGAACGGGGGTGGACGACGTAAGTAAAAAAGCAGCAGACACGAGTTCGGTCGCTGTTACCAAACCCCCACCACTAGTATCAACTAGTACTAGCCGGTACTGTATAGTAGATCATTGTAATTAAATGAAGGTGTGGTTCCCGTTCCAAACCACAGACTGGATGGAGTGCAGTAAGTAGTAACAGTGCTCCGAAGAGAGAAGACCACAACTGCACTACTCATCTATTTACATGAGGGTTTCTGGCTGATCCAAGTACCATTTGACGCTATGACGGAAGGGATGTCAGTCAGTGACAAAAAAAAAAAAAGAAAAGAAAATAAAGAGTTGAGAATGGGGGAGAAGTATACAGTAGAAATCATATCTACTGTAGTTCATTGTCAAACAAATTCCATAACTATCTAACCTAAACTCAGCCAGTTTCTAAATCTCTTTCACGCGTGTGAAGAAAACATGGAGAGATGTCAATGGGCATTTCCCATCCGGGAATCAGGATTCGGAATCCCATGCAGGGCACAGGATACGGTGCCTTTTTCCCCCTCTGCACGCTTAACGCAGGTGGCCTATTCGAGTAATGGGAGGGGAGTTCCTGCTATGTGTACCTCCGTATTGCCCCTGCACCGGATTATACAGTAAGTAGTGGTCAGTAGTCAGAAGAGATAGGGCATCCCGTGTGCCAGCATTTCAACAATCCCCCAACGCACTTGGTGCATGAGTGACCGCAATTCCATCTTCATTCATTTCCGCATGCGCCACTACTACGGGGCGTTCCCATCCCCTCCCTCCTACTAATGACTAGTTACTACGTAGGTATACATATGCAAAAGAAAGAAGAGGAAAAAAGGGAACCAAGCGCCCACTTTTGCCCGTCCCTCCCGGGCGGCGGCGGCGGCGACGGCATGTTGGCCACGCACGGTGCGCATTGCCAGAAGCCTGAGGTCTGTCTGAAATGGATAGCCAGCAGCCGAACAGATCTGATGATAGGTTCCCAGATATGTTATCCTGCATAAGCTAGGACGCACTGTGCCACGCCTCGAGCTCGTGTAGAAATATGATTTGGTCAATGGTGGCAATCGCCAAAAAGGGCGCCAATCGGCCGGGGAAAAGGACCGCATTCAAAGGATTCTCATTGGATGAAGGAAAAGGGAGGGAGTGATTTTCCAGTACTACGGGGGGCCACAGAGCCTGAGGATGACTTCAAATCTCCCCCAAACAAAAACATGTCAGGTGGCTCAATATCATCATCATCATCATGCAGTCGAGTTCTATCGTGACGGGATCGTTTTCCAGAGTGTAGGTGTTGTCATCAATAATATATGCCCCTCTTTTTGGTTTAAACTATTTAGGTAGGTAGATACATACTTCGACCCATTGATCCCTTGCGATCCCCTCAACCTGGATACTGGGAACACCTACATATTTCCTCCCCCAGTCTCCTTCTTCCCCTTCTCTCCAGGTGCCTGTACCTACGTCGTACATCAACGAACTACTAGTTGCACACATGGCCTGGTACCCACCCGACTTGCTACTTTTACTGCTAGGCCACACTACTCCATCTCGCACGCTGGCTTGGCAATCATCCGAAAATCGGGGGAAGGGCATTCATCGGCTTTACGAGGTTTGGAACTTAGCTGCCTTCCACCTCCGGGATAGTGAGTCTGGAGACGCTCCAGCAAGAGTGGGAAATGATAACCAGAGGCCCTTTTCTGCTGGTCTGGCGAATAAGAATGGGGTCCATGATAATCAGTTTCGGAATGACTTCCTCTAGGCTCTAGCGAATCTCCAATTACGGCGATCGGTCGGGCGCTCCCAGGACATGGGACCTAAATCCAACGAGGGATCCACTGATGGCAATAGTTCCGGATAGCGCTTGTCCGCGCTGTTTACTTACGTCTTTCCTACGATCATCCACCCTCCACCCATTAAAACGGGTCACGACCCAAACCATTCATTTCTGCGTGGATGGTTCGATGCGGAGAAAAACCAGTTCTGTCAGTCCCCCTTTGATGATGCTGCACTAATACACTAGACTAGCTGGGGGCATTTATTCATTCCTGAAGGTCGACAACACTACTACGTAGTAGTTAGCCGCTATCTCCGGCACAGCTTTAGGTAATAAACGCAGGATGGAGATCCCACGGGATACTGTCTACCGGGATACTGACTGGGCGGTACGCTTGGGCAAAGCCATCAACCGCTCACTAGTCTTCCTTAGCTCTTGACCCCTACCAGCCATTCCGATCGGGGGATGCCTTCTTTGGCACAGCGGGACTGGCGCGCGCACATACACACACACACACACACACACACACACACACAATGCAACGCGCTTCGTCATGCGATCGATCCTGTAGGCTGTAGTGGACTGACTCGACCTCACCCACCGGGACATTGATCCCAGCAATAGAATCAGGGATGGGAGAATCAGGACCTGGACACCGTCCGTGCCCCAGAGACGAGGCAACCAAAAGGCGAGGATACAGTAGCATAATAATACATGACACAGTAAGTAGCAGGTACAGTAGGCCCGAACCCCCACACCCCATCCCTTGACTGTGCACTGCTCGTTGAGGATCAGCCGGAATAATATCATCAGCATACCTATTAGAGGGATGAGGAATGACTGGTCATAGGGTTGGCGACGTGACCTGTCGTGGTTTTCTTTTTTCTTTTCAATTTATTTTTCTTTCCTCATCACTTTCTTTCTGGCCGTCCTGCCGTCCTAGTTGGCCCTGCAGGATGAGGGCGACGCTAGACTAGGGCACCTGCTGGTGTCAGAAGTGTGTCCTCTGTTTCACAACCTCAGAAAAAGGGTTAAGCAGGAGCTCAGGCTTGCTTGATGCACACTCAGATGAGGATGGTAACACACGCTCAGCTTGTCTTGATTGGAAAAGCCCATTGTCTGTGGGCACCAACCTGGAATGGGGGCTTTTGAGTTACGGCTGATGGATCATGGATGTCGATCAGCCATGGCCATCTTCTTGAGTCTCCATCGCCCGCCATTCCTCGCCATCCTCCTTCTCATCATCTCGGGTCCGACCCTGCCATGTTCCCCTAATAACTCCGTGGTAATTTCAAAACTACGTAGTCATCATCCCATTCATGAATCTACTAGTATCAAACTGGTCTGTTCAGAGCTCGGCAATAATCCAGCAATCATGCTATTCCTTGGCATCAATCCATGCAGTGCCCCCCCTTCGGTAGATGTTAGATTAATTTTAATTTAGCATGTCGACCAGTTTTCCAAACCATGTGGCTCATCCTCACAATTGACCGCAAAATGGCTAGGGGTAACCTGGCTTGACCAACTCCGGCGTAGTCTGACTGAGGTTGTCCGGATGTCCAGTGAGAAGTCCTGGTGGCCCATCCGCTTGTCGCTGCTAACCACGAAGCCATGGAGATTAGTGGCTTCGAGTGAATGCAGTGTTGATCCCCATAGATGGTATCTATCTATCTAGTCAACGAATACCCCTACGAATTTAGCGCTATCCTTTAGGCACATCACAAATCGTCGAATTAATTTTCCAAGAAATTGTTCCCACCCCCTACTAACTACTAACGGAGTACTAGTATTGAAGGGACCCAGCCGCGCGCACATGGAAGAAGGACCCAGTATTCAGCAGGACTAGTTCTGCTCTTAGTCGCTTGCTCTTTGACCTATTCATGCCACTTCTCACACCGCAACCAATATCGCCTTCAGCTTGGGTCGTCATTCTATGGTAGCGGTGTTATTGCTTTTGCCCGTCTGCATGCACCCCATTCCGATGAAGGCAGTATCTACTTAGACGGTCGCACAGTCTTTTCGTCCCTAGATGCTTTGAGCAAGCTTCTAGATCTCTTTCTAGGCACCAAGCCACTCCCCCTTGCCTGTCAAAACTTATTTTCTTTTTTTCTTTCAGCCTTTTTCCCTTCTTTTTTTTCTTCTATTCTTTTTTATGTAATTTTTAATCTTCCAGTCGACCTTCCCATTTTGAATAATTTCCCTCCCTTCATGCTCTCAACATGACTTGCTGGTTTCTCCTGCCGGCTCATTCCATGGCAGCCCACACGTTGATTCTTAACTAATACTGCATTGCTCAACGCCTTGTCAGCCACGCTTTTGGGTCGATGAGTGGAGGAGGAGGAGGAGAACAAAGTGGACCATCACCATCTACTCACACAGTGCTTACTCCTTCCAGCGCAAGTGCCAAGTACTTCGATCCAATTCTTTCTCTCTTTACACCGCGACCACCCACTTGATACCGATACTAGTAGTAAGTAATTACATCGCCAGCCTTGTTCATGGATATTACCATTATGTAGTCTCCCCCCTCTCTCTTCCCCCCTTCATCCCGCCTTTTCCACTCCTCTCAGACTATGCAACTAGACCAGGTACACCCATCCCTAATAGTCACTAGCCCGGTTATAGTAATCAGTAATATAGCTAGCCACCTGCGAATTCCCCCACAGTCTAGCCAGGGATCCAGATCCCGACCACCACCCAGCCTAGCAGCACCACCACCACCATGCCAGAAAAAACGTGGCTCGGGGCCATCGGCGCGTGTGTTAAGATTTTTTTTTATTACTTTTGCGGAAATTTCTGCGACAGCTTCGAGACATCAGGCCTTTCTTCCATCCAATCCGTCAGTCAGTCTCCATCCTATGACGATTTTGAGGAATTTCCTTTCTTCCTAGACCTATCTACCTACCTTACGTTAGTAAGAAAGATGATTAGTAGCAGTTGTGTTCGGAGTCAAGTTACCTCGCCTATCCCTCAATTCAGCTCTTCCTCCCTCCTTCCCCCCTTTCCCCTGGGCATTGAGGTCATGCTTGGCGCGCCAACCTCGCTGACGGGTTGCCATTCTTGCTGGGGCCGGTTCGTTAATTGACGGCCGGCCGGTCCGATTTCAATCCCTGTCTTACTACTTACTTAGTCTGAGGGGTTTTGCTCGGGACACTAAGCTAGTAGACTACTATCTAGGCAGGCATGTGGTTTAGTTAACTTTCAGTTTAGTGTGCTTCAAGTTTCTAGTTATTGCCTTCCTTGTTCTTATTTCCGAGGTGTTTACTTTTTTACTAGTATACTACTACTACTATAGACAAGGTATACACATATCACTTACTCCCACTCCCGTACGTACCTATCTTAAGTAAGTAGAATGGGGGGTTGTACAGCTTACCCAGATAGACACCCTGTCCATGTACATACTTACTTTCTTGTTCTACCCTACTTTTTGTGTAGTACCAAGATGCCCTTCTTATGTATATGTACCCATGGCGTGTATACTCCGCCGCCTTGTCCATGTGTCCGTTTACCACCCAATCAGATCTACACTTGCCATGCACAACGATATCATACCACAGCACCGGACAAGACGTTGGACGCTTGCGTAGGTACTCACTTTGTCATACGCTACATCTTGTTACAAAAGCAGTACTACTTGATTTTTCTTCTTTTTGCCCCAGTGGATTCACGCTGACTAGTAAGTAAGTAGACAGTATGAAAATAGCAGCAGCATCCATGCAGTAAACAGTAGGCTAGGTGAGAAAAGAAAAAAAAAAGAAAGAAAGAAAAGACTAGGGAACATATTCCTAGCGCAACGCCACTAGTTCCAGAATATCCGAACTCCTTCGTTTCGTTCAATAAGGGGGCGGCTTTTTTGCATTCCTTTTTTTTCTTTCTTAGACGCGGCAGCGGCAGCGGCAGCGAGCGGCAACATCATCATCATCATCGTCATCGCGGCCTTTTTATTTTATTTTATTCATTGATTAATAACTATATTAGTAGAATGTATTATTAGGTGAATAACTAGACTAGCTAGTTTTCTACCGAAAGTCAGCAATTTCTTTTTTTTTTTTTTTTTACCATTCCTAATTTAGCGTCTGAGCCACTGGTTCTTTGCGTCTCTAATTGCGGACTAGTTCGGACGCTGCTAAATGTAGATCGACATGGTATGTATGGAGATTTGTTTCACTCTTGTATCTAGCAATAGCACTACTTTACGACGGAGTGCGGAAGGCCGGCTGGCTAACTACAAAGTGACTAGTTGCAAAGCAGTTTAGTTATTCGATTAGTTAGTTACTATCATTCCGATTATTAATTTCGTCGTCGGGCGCGCGGGGGCAAAGAACTTGGACCTTATGATTTCATCGCTGATGAGGATTGGTGATGATGCTTGGTGGTGAGTGAGGTGGTCTTCACACCGTATTTTGTTCCATCAATTACAGTAATACTGCATGTTTTGTTAGTTACACTCCTTATCTATCGCTCTATCAGAAGATCAGATATCAGTGTCGTCTTCATCTTTGCTAGGAAAACAAATTAAGTCACTTACAGTATTTAGATGGAAGTTAACTCTACTTTCTTAATTAAATACTGAGGAGTTTTTAATTCTTTAAGCTTTGAAACGGGCACTTAAGCAATGCTCAACAGACCAATTGCCCAACTAGGCAGGTACTATATGTATTACACCGTTACAGTGAGTAGTGGTAGTAGTTATCCGAGTGACCGCGGCTCTCCTGATTTTATTTACTTGCATTACTACTTACAAGATAACCAACTAACTACTGACTGACTATCTAGTCATTCAAACAACGAAGTGACTATTGACTTACTCCTAACGAGTTAGCATACATCACTACTTACTCCCCTCCCGCCAAGTGCCAACACTCTTGCTGCCCCGCTCGCTCGCATTTGCAGATGATAATGGCCAGAGAAGAAGAGGAAGGAGCAGAAGGAGGAGGCTCAGCTGAAGAATCTCCTTCACTCTTTCTTTTTGAGTCTTCTGACATACTCATGCTCATCTTGGAAATGCATCCTGCAGATACTGAATGGACTGACTGCCTAGCATCTCGGGCCCGGGTTTCGGGAGGGGAGAAAAATGAGAGAGGCTGAAGACTCCTGCCTGGTACAGTATGGTGCAGAATTCCAAGTTTCGTCTAGGAGAAGATACTTAGTCAGTTGCCTGTGGCTAATGACTTGTTTTCTCAATAGTGCAGGATCCCTACTTACTCAGTATCTACTTTACTTCCCTGCCTTCCTTGGTCCTGGTGGATATTCGCCGATTAGTAGTATCATGTATGTGGGTTGGATAGCTAGCTAGCTACTACTTAACTAGTACTAACCGATAATTCCAGGAAAGAAACAAAACCAACATATCCGGGACCACTTTTGGACGCAAACATGGTCAATTTATTTATTTATTCCAAATGAGAATTTCCGCGACGGCAAGGCAACACACAGACAATTCCTCTCGCAAAATTTTGGCTACGCTACATGTGTATACTATACCAAATGCACGGACATTCTTCGGCTAACTAACTAACTATCATTACACTGCTTACACCAGCCGGCTATAGAAAGCGGCAACTAACGAAGGTTCAGGTTTCACGGCTTTCTTCGGTAATCAGGTTGAGTGCAGGTTCGACAGACAGACGGTAGACTATATGCATATGGTATGCAAGATGCCCAGCTAAGCGAGGTCAATCGTACATATTATCAGGTTTATTTTATTTTATTTTTTCTTACTATCGCTGTGAAGATACTTGATAGCGTGGCTCATGAAAAGGAAAAAGCAATGCAAGGGGTAAAGTCGGTAAGTAAACCCCAGCCGGGATATGATCGGGATTATTTTATTTTCTACTTTCCTTTTTGTGAGGGTGGCGGTTTCTTCAGACCCGAGACAAACAGAATGGGTGGGTGGGTTGTGGGGTGGGAAGGGAAGATGGAATGAGATCGGACATATCATCTACTAATTTGACTCTTACATTTACTTTGCTTTATCCTGGGGCATTGGGATTGTTACTGGGGGGGTCAAGATATACGTTGACGAATCAAGAAGTGACAGTTGGTTTACTTGGTATAGTAGTATAGGTAAGTTCGGTTAGATCTACACTGCAAAGAGCCTTTCAACCCTTGCCTTAACCTGCCAAGGTAGATTAGGTATAGATGGGTAGATCTGGTTGCGTTGCCTGTGTGGATACCCAACCCGATCGATCCATCATCATCATCATCATCCACCCACACATAACCCCCAGAGACACACACACACAGCAGACGAGATCAGATCGCATCGTCTGGTACTATGCACGTCCTACATACTATGTACGTATGACCTACGTACCTAAGGAGTACATTGGGATGAGACACGGTAGAGCCGTTTTCTTTCTTTCTTCCCTTCCTTTCCCTTCCCTTCCCTTCCCCATGGGTTAAAAGGCAGAAAAATAAACGCAAGGTTCTTCTTTCACTTTCCATTCTTTAACTGGACACTAGCTATAACTAGCTGACTATACGTTCGGTCTAACTTACGTATACCCTAACTATCCACATCCATCTTACTTTTCCTAGCAGTAGTAGTATCTTCATCTACTCAAACTGCTTACCGATCTTGGTACCAAGTAAATCGTTAAATACACTACATGCCACCCACCCGATGAAAAGGATGCCGGGGACCCCTTCCCCGAGGAATGTACATACCTAACCTAAGTAGTAACCATAAATACATAGTTTCCATCAATATGCCATCTCCTTCCCCCTCAAGAATGTAGAATGTTAAAAACGTGTGTGTATGTGTATGTGTATGTGTATGTCTGATGGCTGTGTCAATCACATGGCAAGTAAAGTTTAGGGGGAAGGGAAGGGGGAGGATCTTGTCGACATTCTTCCTCTTCCCTTTCCGTTTCTCTCTTTTTGTGTCTGTACCGCACAGACGTCTAGACATATGGGGCTGGAGCTGGCATGGCATGGCATGGCATGATGGCTGATGACATACGTATACGTACGTACTGCTTTGCTCTATGTTGGGCAGGTAGGCATGAGGAATGTGGCTGAGTACGGTTACTGTGCTTTGCTTTGCTTTGCTTTGCTTGGGCCGTGCTCGTGCTCGCTTTGCCACAGAGACTAATTAATTAATGTAAAGTTCTGGACTATTGTCTATGGGGTTGGGTAGTACCTTGCTTGATTATAGTATAGTATAGACTAGGGTGGGAAATGAAAGGATACCCTACCCTTGCTGGAAGGAATATGCTGTACCTACCATTCTTGAGGATGAGGATTCAATGAGATGGATGGATGGATGAGTGGATATATGATACATCATCGGGGGTTTTCTGCTTTGGGGTGCTTGGGTCATGTTGTGTGAGTATCAAACACGAGCGGTGGTTTGTGTTTGTGTTTTGTGTCACTGGTAATACTGGGTTTGGGGGAGGAGAGGATTGAAAGCGGGAGGGGATGTAAGGTGCGCTGCGCTGCGCGGCGCCATTAGGTAGTGTATAGATTGGATGGAAGGGAGGGAAGTAGAGTTTCTCGCGTCTGCGTTTGTTGCGTCGGATATCTTTTCCTGCTGGTGTAGCTGGGGAGGTGTGAGTGGTGGTCTATACTAGCACTACAAGTGTAGATGTATAAGAGTGTGTGAGGGTTTACTGGTGTCTATGTATATGTGTAGCCTGATAGTACTGATCTAAGGGAAGTAGTGTACTTGCGTGATCTACACTAGTAGTAAGGACAAAGTACTTGGCTATATTTATTGTGATACCTTCTCTTGCTCATCAATACATACCACTCTCTCTCATCAATTAGAGTAAAATTCCATCAGCAAAACGCATAGATACCCAACTAGAGCACAATCAAGCCTCTTACGAGTTGAACTACAGTCTAGACCTACTATTCCTCTTTCAAAGACGCAATCTGTCTCAGAAACCAACTACCATACGACCACTATCCTAGCCAGCTGACTTCAGTATCTGAAACAAACGCGTACCTCAGATACGAATTCGGTCTATCGACGGACAATCTCCAAAGCGAGCGAGTATACACAATACCGCAATTACATTTACACACTAACATCCAAGACATATACGAATCAATTCAATAGTAAGGGCTGATGTCTCAGCCATTATCACACCCCACCAGTATAGCCATCGACATGGCGGTGGACATTAACAAAAAGAAAAGGAACAAGAAACGAGGCTATCAATAACTTGTGTTCTCCTTTCATTGGTTGGTTTACCGTATGCCGTGTGCTGGTTTGCTTGTGGCGGGTTTGTTGTGTCAATGATGTGGTGGTGGTGGTGGTGGTAATGAGTGGTTAGAGGCATGGCCCAGAGCCTACGCAAAGGTCTGGTGAATGGAATAAGATGTTTAGACTGATAGACTACAATTTTGTGACACGTCGGGCATTGCTATTCCTCTAAAAGTACGGTTTCAGCTTCCTGGAGCGGGTGTGTGACTTGTTGCTTGGGTTGTGGCTTCTTTTGTGCTCTTGTGGTTGTTGGAATATAGGGGCTTGGGGTTGTGTGTTATGGTGATGAGTGATGAGTCTCTATGCGCTCTTGCTAGGGGAGAGGAGTGAGTTGATATTTGTGATGAGGGGGTATTTTGTGTAACGTGCTGTTTGAGATGTATATACTTGTTCGCTATTGGTAATATTTAGCGAGATGCAGTGTGGAGGTTGATATTGAGGCTTGATAGGGATTTGCTTTAGGCGCCTTTCGATAGTAGCAGTAATAGTGAGCTGTCTTAGGATAAATATCATGTTATTTGTACAATGGGAGGACGTTGGATATGTGGTTAGAAAAATCAGGAGGAGGGTTTGTTTCGATAGAAGCGAGAATATCAAAATAGGCTATAGGTTACAGTTTGGTTTGACTGGACCAGCACATTGTATGATATCAAGCTAGATCAAGCATCTTCGAGTCAGATCGATCATCAACTGCCCCTCGATGGAAAATAGAGATATTTTGGTAGCGGGATACCTGGCATAGAAGCACTAGATACAGCCCCGGCATATAAAACTCCTTGTGATACAGTAACTGAGTCAGTTGGATGTTTCACCTGAATGAAAGTCCGATTATTGTCAAACTCCTTGAGTGAAGGCAGGGCTATGCACTTGTCTAGCCAGATCTGTCTCAGTGGAGACCAGCATGCGACAACATTCTGAACAGCCCAGAGTCCAGCATATATCTCCGCCTCTCCTTGTATCCTAGGCTTCCATTCATAGCCCTAAACCAGATAAACGCTGTGAGGTTGTATCATGACACCAGCACCATCAAGGATACGCTTGTGTGTGAACCAATACTGACTGGCTAAGAAAGGGACTAGATCGCAGTTCGTTACTTCCGCGGGGTGGGTGAAGGCGATTGACGGCTATCAATGTCCGGCTGGGTTGATACCTTTTGTATGCGAAAGGATCAAGTCTGGAGTTGAAATCCATATATTAGCATTCTGAAATGTTGAAAGCAACCGTTACTAAGTTAGCTAATAGGCTCAGATAATCGCAAGACTTCCTGTAGTTACAGGGTACATAGCTCTCAAGATATATAAATCAACTCACTTCACTAAGCAGGCTCTTGTTTTACTTACAAAGGGCCACAAGCAAACAATGAATAGTACTGAGCGAGCGAAGCCATTTCAGATTCTTAAGCTTCTTGATTGGTTCCATCTTTTCTTCACCCTGTAAATGCCTCTTTCGTTATCGAATTCGGTTTATCTGAGGCTTGCTTTCGTAGAATGGGCATCGACTCGCGGTCTTCAAGCGGTTCACAAGCTGTCGGAATAGTGAGCCACCGGTGAGTCTCCGCATAGACATATTATGGATGCTTCTCGAGGCAGACAGAGAGAAGTGTGACACAGACTCCTATTGACCCGACTCGCGTGAGACAAGGTGCCATCATGGAAATCCAACGGTCCCTTCAGTGGTGCAAGGGGTAATAGGATATTGAGACCAGCATTTAGATGAAGGCTGGGTAAATGTGAAGTCTTATAACCAAAGTCATTAGTGAGGAAGACTGGTGTGCTTGTCAAGATACCAGATCCTCAGTGAAAAGGGTGAGGTCTGAGGGTGACAAGCGAAGGAGGTTCGACTAGTTTAGCGGGTGACATCCCGATCCCGCTCCTCCCCTTCTCGTCTTCGCATACGTCCAACAGCCTGCTTTTGGTCCAGAAAGCTCCGAGAACAGCAAGGCTAAAACTTTGCTATCGGATCAAGGTCTCTTGATAACATGACTGCTCTGACTTGATCCACCAGACATGGATCTATATGTGCTTGACTACCGCAACAAGGGCCACATACTAGTGCAGTGCACTCTAGGCCTGCTGGCTGAGGGGACTAGCATCAACGCTCGGTGTTCTTGGTCTACAAAGCCCTACAGAGGATGCATAGTCTAGGATTACCAGCAGGTATGTTGAGCTTTTGCCAGGTAGTCGAGTTGATAACCTTGATTATCAAGTGGGGTTTCCAGCTGTGCAAGCACCATCAGGGGCATTTCGTGACACCTCGCTCATCAGCCACTGTCGCCTCCTCACGATTTGTTCCCCCTCACTCTGCTCCTTGGCTCACTCAATTAATTTTTGAATCAGCATATAAAGCACGTCTTTGATCACCAGTTCTACAACAGGCACCACGTTCTTGCTTTGGGAGGTTCCCATATGAGCTGCACCAAAGCTTGTGCGGTCTATGAGCATCTGCCGTCCACCCGTCGCGCGTTCTGACTATATTACAAGCCCCCGTTCATATACGAACCACTGCTGAGCGTAAAGTTTAGCATGTATCCGGCATACGCTGCTCTCATGATCGCCTTTCCCATACTGGCAACGTCAGCCACCAAGCTGACGACAACAGTGGTCACAACAGCACCTCCTACAGCATATGTTCAAGTCTTTGAGGCAAATGCCGTGTTTTACAGCAGTATATTCAGTATTCTAGCTGGAAGCATCGTGAATGTGGATACTGTGGAGGACCGGACTACCATCGGGACCAACTGTATCCATAGCCTGGCCGTCAACTGCTCGTTGGAGACTGTCAGTTTCCCCCCTACGTTTACCATAGGGCCTTCAACGTACATACACAGCTCAGACGGCTCAGAACAAAACTCTCAGCAGTACACTAGCAATATCGACTCAAGGGCCTGCAGGATCTTTTCTTCAACCCAAAGCGCATCCTGCGAGATTTTTGCGAGCTACTGGTATTCTGACGCCCACACGAGCACGTCCAAGCATACAAAACGTCATACGACCTTGAAGTCTTCAGAAATCAATTACCACAATCTATTAATCACGGCAGGTATTGAGAAGCTTCCAACAGCAGTGACGACGTCACAGACCCAGAAAAGGACTGCCACCGTCCCCACGGCTACTGCTTTGGCCTCTACTACGGCCGCTGCCTCTTCTCCTAGCCCAGATTCCCAATCCCATCCCTCAAAGGCGTGGGTTGCCGGACCAGTTGTGGGAGCCGTGGTCGGGTGCGGCCTGATAGCAGCTGTGTTATACTGGTGTCTCAAGCGAAAGAGACAGAAAGTGCTATCGGCTGATTCCGGACCAATAATCCAGGATCCTTCAGAGGAAATCAGGGGACTCGGCAGCCCTGTTAAGTCTGCATACAAAGCGTGTATGCCAGCAGAAACTCAAGGAACCCCTGTATCCGAGCTTCCAGCGGATGAGCCTTCATGCGTTCAACATACTACCTAGACTTTCTCGGGGTCTTTGAGAACAGCAATGGACAAAGCGTGAATATTGCAGTGGGCGAGATTCGTGCTTGAGCAGTTCTGTTGAACCAGATTTATGTCGAGCCTGTTAGTGTGGTCCCGGTATCAGTAAGAACTGTGGGGAATATGCATTATCACTGACGATAGTGTGGGTCTTTCCCAATATCTAATCATCTCAAATTGATACCACTTAGGTGCCAAATTTACCCAGAAATAATCCTCGTATGATTTGTACAGTATAATAGCTGAGCGAGTTGAGCGACTCATACACGGCAAGCACTTACATACTCTTACCTCCCTGTCATTAGTCTCTATAATGAGTATAGTCATTCATATCATGAAGTGTTTCTCTCATAGCAGCTTCAGTCTGCCATGTCTATATACAGTCACATGACCTCGGAGTAACCAAAACTCCGTCGGCATTTTCTCCCATCGCGAGCCTCGACCGAGGTCTATACTCTCCTTCTCGTCCCCCTTTCGCTCTCTGTCGAACGTCCGGTGCTTCTCGCGCTTCTTCGTCTCGAGTCATCATCATCCGGCGTCGTGGATGGCAATTACTCCGTCAGTTGGATTGATCGCCGCCTGACCCGAGACTCACGTGCCCAGGAGTCTCGCGGAAGCCGGATAATCTCGCCGTTCAGACAGTAGTATA